AGGCAAGGGGCGTTCGTGCATGTGTAAACACGCCCATTGTGCGGTAGAGGGGGCAGACCTGTCCCAAGCGCTGCGGACACCTTATGAGAGTCTACTACAGCCTCCCAATGGCCACGCACCTGTTTTTATGGAAATGGGGGATTTCTCCCCCGCTTGCTCCTTTGGGCCACGGGCTAAGGGCAAGCGAGACTCGAGAGCATCTGAACTCCAAGTCCTCTGGGCTTGCATGGGGCTGAGCCCTGCCCGCTCCTCCTGGGGCAGCCCCGCGCCGCACTGCTGCCTGCACCTGCCCCATGCCTGCCAAAATCCCAGCCCAGGCCCCAGCCAGCATGCAGAGCGGCTCCTGCTGCAGCGTCCAGCTACGGCAGGGGACAGACCTCACTTGCACTGCTCTGCCTGGGCGAGCTCTGTTGTACGTGTCCCCTAGCCATCCCCTCCCTCCCTGCATCCCCAGCCAGCCAGTTCAATTTTAGCGTATGATTTGTTTTTTTACCTATAATTTGTTCAAATGATATCTTCTGACAGATTTTGTGTGTGTGGCCTTGGCAGTGCAGCAAAACCCATTAAGTGGCCCACCAGCGGAAATAATTGCCCACCCCTGCTTTAGCAGTAAACTCTGGGGAAGGGACTACCTTAAATATACAGCTTGCACAGCACAGAGCTCACTTTTGGTGCTTAATACATAACGCATTTCTTCGAGTGGAAAGGTCTATTCTGTCAACCAGAACATTCACCTGATCCTGCAGGATTGTTCCTAAGACTTCCATTTAATTTTTTAAATAACAACTAAGCTAGTAGGACAGCTAATTTCAATTTGGGTTTATTTATTCCTGAAGGTTCCCTGGGTCAAAGGAGAAAGTTTTATGCTACAGAAAACTGGCCGAAGATTGAGCAAACAAGGCAGCATTCAGAGGAGACTTAGGTCTGGGATTATTAATTTATTCTAATAGTTAAAAGAACTGCATCATCCTTGTTGGGTATTTTAGGTGTGTTGTAAGTACTGAAGTCTCTGGAACTGTTTGCAAAGTCACAGCCAGGAGATCCCAACACCAATCTTGTTTTAAAGAATGACTGCAGGCTCAGTTTGGTAGCAAAGATTTGGCAGGTTTCTCATCTCTAAGCACTGCCTTACCACATTTTGGCCTAACAAATACATCAGACCAGGAGTTAAGGCATTTGTACTTGTGACAAGGAAGTTGGCACAGCACCACACGGGCTCCCTTAGGGCTCTACAAAGTTCCCATACTTTCCAACCCTCCTTTTATACTGGGATCAAAACAAATTATGTATTATATTCCATCTGAATCTTTGCTTAGGTCCTGGGTCTGACCCTAAACTGCATGTGACTGGAGGGCTTTGTGGCAATGTGGTGGGGCTATTCATGGCAGGGTAGCTCCAGTAAGATACCACAACGTTGCAACCTCCAGAGTAAGGCGAGTACAGGGCATCTCAAAACCACCACTGTCTTGTGGGTAGGCCTTGGTTGGAGAAAGGCAAAGGGACGTTGCCCTGGCAGAAATGCGCCCTCGCTAAGGCATTAGGCAGTGCATTGCCTGTGCTTCACGCTGTGTTGTTCATGAATCGCTCAGAGCTAACAGGTCCATGCTTTTCAGTGCTTGAGCTCTAACTGACCAGCATCGTGTCTCTGTGCACAACAGCCAGTTCCAGGAGAATTTTACAAGACCATCTTAAGCATGCAGTTGCTTGGTCTTCTTTTCCCGGGCAGACATGACAGCAATAATCCATAATAACATCACACAGAATTTCACATGCATGAATATCCTACTAATGAACAACAGTCAGTTCATGTCTGAGATGCCCTGTACTGTCACATTGACCTCCACGTTTCCTCTAAGACGTCAGCTCCACTGTGCTGGGATCTCGCACTGTGGTCGCTGCCTCTCCCCTAGAAGTCAGGCCCTATGCAAATTCCCCAGGTGCTCATTTGCTTGGCAAATTCCACTTGCTTCATCAAGGGCTAATTCTGGGTCTCCCACTGGTCCCTGAGCGTTTGCACACACAAAGTGAAGTGATGTTTAAACCTTCTTCATTTGTCCTACACATTTCCAGAGAGTTTCAATTCCAGCGAGGCTTTTCACTGCTCCATTTTCCCACTCCAGGTAGTTTCTTAGTTCATTTTACTTTTGGTATTGTGTGTTGTTCAAAAAACACTCAGACCAAGGAGTCTGGCAGGCGTCGGCTTCACTCAGCATCCCGAGGTCTGTATGCACCTCTCATAGCCAAGCAGCACCATGGAAAATGCCATGCTACTCTGAGTATGCTGCCTCCTGGCCCAGAAGCAGCACCGCTGTGTTATAAGGGTGCCTGAACTAATTAATTACTTCTGTTGGGAGGTACAACCAATTAGTCAGCTTGCAACATGGAACAAAGACAGCTGCACAAGTCCAGGTGGGAGGGAGCAGAGCAGAATGGCATGGTGCCCACCTGGCACCATAAAAAGTACAGACATGCCCTTGATTTTAATCAGAAACGTGTTACATGAACCTCTCTGTACATTCAGCTGTTGCAACAGTTGCTTAAATGCATCTTACCCCACGTGGGCTGAGTATTTCCTTAAGTACATGACATCTCCTTGCCACAGAGAAGAAAACTACTGGACTTTCAGCTGGATAAACAGTCACGAGGTTGATTTTCAGGCAGCTTTTCACCTGTGTCATTTATATGACATGTTCTTACTAGTCAACTTTAAATTCCAGCTCAGGGGTCTGCTTCCCTCCGGAGGTCTGCTAAATGCCTCTAACCACAAACAAGGAAATTAAAAGTCAGCTGCTGCAAATGGCAGCTGTTGTGAAATTCAAACAGCAAGTGTATCTAGAAATATCTTTTGGCAGCATATTGAGCTACCAATATACACTCTGCTGCTGCAACCCCCCCCAATACCCCCCGCCCCCCCAAACCCCCCCCCCCCCCAGGTTACATACATTGCTTATATGTGGGGGTACAGCTTAATAATAGGAGCATCATAATTAGCACTTAGCCACCATTACTTTACTGATCCTCACAAAATCCTGGTTGGGTAGCTAAATATTGCCTATATTTTATGAGTGAACAGGCAGAGACTTGAGTTATCCAAAGCCACAGGAGGAGTCAGAATTGCTGGCCTCGTCCTGCCCTGCAACAGAAGCTCCTTCTCCCAGCCCTGTGCTTGGGGTCGCCAACTCTGCTTGAATCTATTCGGGGAGTTTCATCACATGCTGTAATGACATTTATGACTTTATGTCAGGATGGCAAATGCAACATGACTATGACGTTTTAAAAAACCCACTGGACCACTGTATCAATCAGAGTCAACATTTAATATTTATTTTAATGAATGCCCTAGCATCGATCTCCCAGGTGACTCTCAGCATCTCCTGGAGATTTGTGTCTCGACTCCAGGGCAAGCCTGGAGGGCTGGCAACCCCACCTGTGCTCTCACGTGGCCTCCATCACCGCCCATCTGAGCACCGCACAAATGCCAATGAAACCATCTCCAAAACCAACACTGCCCGGCAGGAAACTCATTCTTCAGGCTTTGCAGCTGGGAACTCAAGCCCAGATGCTTCAAGGTATTCAGGTATCCAGGTTGTAGCTGTATTGGTCTGGAGGCAAAGGCATCAGGACTCGTGGTAGAGATTCATAGATGCTAGGGTCGAAAGGGACCTCAACAGATCATCGAGTCCGACCCCCTGCATAGGCAGGAAAGAGCGCTGGGGTCAGATGACCCCCGCCAGATGCCTATTCAGACTTTTTTTCAAGACCCCCAAGGTAGGGGAGAGCACCACCTCCCTTGGGAGCCCATTCCAAATTTTGACCACCCTTACTGTGAAGAAGTTTTTCCTGCTATCCAGCCTAAATCTGCTCTCTGTCAGTTTGTGACCATTGTTCCTTGTTACCCCAAGAGGCGCCCTGGTGAACAGAGCATCTCCGATCCCTTGCTGCCCCCTGTAATGAATTTGTAGATGGCCACAAGATCACCTCCTCAGCCTTCTCTTGCAGATGCTGAAGCAGTCCAGGTCCCTCAGTCTCCTCGTAGGGCTTGCCCTGTAAGCCCTTACCCATACGAGCAGCCTCCTCCAAACCCTCTCGAGTCTATCAACATCCTTCTTGAAGTGCGGTGCCCAAAACTGGACACAGTACTCCAACCGCAGTCTGACCAATGCCGCATAGAGGGGAAGCATCCCCTCCTCGGATCTATTGGCCATGCATCTGCTGCTGCATGATAGTGCGGTTAGCTTTGCTGAGGATTTCGTGACACTGGTCTCTCCCACTATCGCTGCAATTCAGGTCTCATTTGACTCAGGTCAAGGTATTTGATTCTGGTCAATGTATCCAGGCACTGCACTCCCTCCGGACTCAGGGACTAAAGCCCTGTTAGACTCTGCACCTTGTCCAAGGACACGTGGCAGGTCTGCGCCAGGCCAGGAAGTGAGTCCCAGCCTGGAGGGAGGTCCTCCCTCTCCCCGCAGTGCTTTGCCCCCCGTGTCCCCCCTCTCCCCCCATTG